TCTCTCTCTCTCTCTCTCTCTCTCTCTCTCTCTCTCTCTCTCTCTCTCTCTCTCTCTCTCTCTCTCTCTCTCGCTCTCTCCACATATCAAGACAAGGCGGCGGCATCAGCACGCACGCTTGAACTCCATTTTGACTAAGGTTAGGATAACGGACTTGATATGTGTTGAACAGCATGAATGCTATTCGTGGATCATCCCCTGCATGATGACTATCATGCACGATAGGATCCACGATTTGCAGTCATGTTGTTCAGCACATATCAAGTCCATTATCCTAACCTTAGTCAAAATGGAGCAACGTCTCTCTCTCTCTCTCTCTCTCTCTCTCTCTCTCTCTCTCTCTCTCTCTCTCTCTCTCTCTCTCTCCAAACTCTCTCTACCATCTACCCATGGCGAGGGTTATCGTTATCGGCTGGAGCGCGCGGATCAGGAATGAAGCCGACGTAACCATCGTTTTGCAGGTTGGGCCACCTCATGCGCATCGCCTCCTGGAATTCCGTCGGCAGTCTCTGACGGCGAGTGTAACCACAGAGGTTCGCGAACTCCCTGTACCTTGCGAATCTGTTAGCCGCCGCGTCCAGTCGATCGTTTCCCACGAGGATATGCAAAAATTGGTCATTGCGGTCCTCCTCACCGACAATCTGTACCGCGGTTTCAACCAAAAACGCAGGATGCGGCCATGCTGCCCGTATTTCATCCCCGTTCATATGTGGGGGAGGAGGTCGTGGGCGACGTGCCGCGACGAGTGCTGGCCCAAGCCCGGGGCCCCCTCGACCGCGCACAACTCTACGTCTTGGTCGACGACCGTACACCATGTCCCCATCATCTTCGTTGTTGGGTGCTTGAGGTTGTGCCTGCTCCATTATAGTGTCGCGTTGTGAGTATCTGCAACAAATGCGGTGGAAGTTAGTGTTGGTCCGCGGAACATGGAAAAGAAATAGCGGAAAAAATATTCTCCATTGTATACAGAGTATGGTGGACAGATGGTAGAACTCAACGTAAGCGGGATGACAATACGGATAGTAATAACTTAAACGAACCGAAAAAACAAAATTGTCCGCCGCAGGACCACAGGTGATTGAGAAAAAAAAAAAACAGTGGTTGAAAGGAAGAACGAATGGAAAAAAAAAACAAAAAAAATTATAAATCGTTTTTGTTATTTCCGACCACTACGCTTTCAACTAGATCCACGAGTCCAAGTTCGAGGGGCCGGGACAACGGCCGGACTGTTTTTGCTTCTTCAACTTTTTTTGGGTCTGCGTTCGGCCTGAACGACCAAACGCATCCCCAAGGGGTCCCATACGTTCGGGCGTTCGGGTTCGGGCGTTCGGCCCGTCCCGAACGCCGGTTACCCTGTATATATATATATATATATGTATATAAATATATATATATATATAAATATATATATATATATATATATATATATATATATTGGAGTTGGCGCGCACAAAAGGTATGTTATTTGGGATTTTTTGTTTGCAGGCAAGGGTGTTCCTGAATCGTGGTTGGTCTTGTCCCGTTGTTTGGCCCTGGTGGTAGGGGAGGTGCTTGCATATGGGACTTGTCATCTAGGATTGGTTATGTTTGTTTCCCCCTGTTTTGTTGTATTTGGCTGTTCCCTTCCTCTTTTCTTTGCCTCTTTGCCTTTTGGCTGTGTGTAAGTGGGTCGATATGACACACGGGGGTGGAGGTAGCCGCCGCTCAACCTACATCCACGTGGGCGGCCTTGTACGCAAGAGGTTCTGAACAGGGGGAGTTAAAAGGAAGAAGATAAAAAATTGAATTCACTTTTCTTTTCTCTTTTTTTTCTTTCCTTCTTTTCTTTTTTTCGCATTTGCACTCTGATATTTTGTGACAATATATATATATATATATATATATATATATATATATATATATA